GTGTGTGTGTGTGTGTGTGTGTGTGTGTGTGCATGGTGTGTGTGGTCTGCTTTAAATGTGATGAAAGGAATCTTCAAAGTCAGGTTTTCTTTCCCCACAAGATAGTTCAATGCATACAAACACAGTGACCATCCTAATGATGTTTTTCCACCTTCCCAGGTGATTTGTGCCAGTCAAACCTAACATGAGTTCACGCTGGTGTACTGCAGAGTATACAGTACAGTATCTTTATATGAGCAATCCTTGCATGTGTACATGCATACGCTCTGTTCTGTAGCACTCTGAAGTTAAGCCATCTTTCCCCTTAAGACAATAAAATCTGCTGAATGATGAAGTGATGAATCATTCAAACTGGAAATTTAGCAAAGATTTCAGTCAGTACCAGTGAAAATCAACTCAGTCTGAAATGTTTGTGTTTCAGGTCACATGGTCACCTCCTCTGATCCCCAACGGAGAGATTTACGGATATGAGATTTGGCTTCCAGAACCTCGCATTTCTCATGACACCACCAGCGCATCTGAGCTTAATGTCATCGTAACAGACCTGGTTCCATACACAAATTACAGTGTCACTGTGTTGGCATGTTCGAACGGTGGCGGACATGTTGGGGGATGCACGGAAAGCCTTCCAACTCCTGCTGCTACATTACCCACAAAACCTGAAGGCCTTGGACCTCTGTCAGTAGTGGCAGTCAGTGAATCTTTTTTAGCCATCTCTTGGCAACCACCAAGCCTGCCCAACGGACCTAATATTAGGTAAAACTGATGGCACATACAAAAAAACATCACAAAGACTATTTCTTATTTAATATGATGGTTTACTAATGTAGGATCATAGATTCCTGGACTCAGTTTGTGTTTCATCTAAATTCTTATTGTACATTCTGACATACAGGTCAGGATCTAAGACGGGAGTGGGCAATCATGGTCCTGGAGGGCCGCAGCCCTACATGTTTTACATTTTTCCCTGCTCCAACACACCTGATTCAGTCACTGAAATACCTCTGCCAAGTTCTGCAGTATGGAGGACCGAAACTGCCATAATTAGAAATAAAAGTAGAAAAAGATCAATGAACCTTTAAATAAATACATTTAAAATGCACCAAATAAGTTAAAAATGAAAACTTTACCTCGTGTTTTATAATTTAATTGACCTTCATATGACCTTCATATTTACTTTTCCAGCTTAGTTCCAATAAGCTAATATTTTAACACATAATTTAAATTTTAATGTTTTTTATATATATTTACATAGTTTTCCTTTTACTTGTACGTGCATTTGTGTCTCTTGAATGCTTAAAACTGAATTATTTTTTATAATTTTGTCCAACAAGTCTTTTTATTTCTATGTGTTGTGTGCTTGTGCTGTCGCAATTTAGCTTAAAGTTTAGTTAAGCATAAATGCACAGGTAATATTTTCCTCCTTGCCTTTGTTTGAAAATAAACTTTAAACTTTTAGCTAAACAATTAAGACACACAGATGC